TATATATATATTATATATATATATCTATCTATATATATATATTAATATATATATATATATATATATAGGGGGCTGTCGTGGCCTAGAGGTTAAGGTGTTGGCCTCTCATTCAAAGGTCCCGGGTTCGAATCCGGGTAGCGACCGAAATTTTTTTTTCTCTAAAATTGTCTCCTTTCACCTCCTTTCCTGCTCTCTAGCAATATTCTGTAGTCTGCTTTCGTCTCCTCTTTCTGCCCCCACCCCCTCACCTCCTTTGCCCCCTCCTCTGGGCTCCTGACTCTTTCTGCAGCCTTTCTACTGCTACTCCTTGACTCCTTCTTACAGCTGTCTTTCTGCCACACCCCTGATCTTCTGGTAGGAAAGATCTACACCTAGCCTTCTCGGACAAAGGCGAAAAATCTCGGAGGGCCCGTGTGCAAGTTGCGCACGTTAAAGATCCCTTGGTGGTCTAAAAAGGATAAGAGTAGGCTTCGGCCGCAACCCGGGCAAAATTCAAAATTTCCTACCAACTAAAAGTATTAGGTGTGTCCCGCGCGCTCATATGACCTTATGCAGTTGCGAGCGCCGTAAAACACTTACCAAACAAAAACAAACAAAACAACAACAACAACATATATATATATATATATATATATATATATATATATATATATATATATATATATATATATATATATATATATATATATATATATATATTATGTAAAAGGCCTTTTTGGGGTCAGGCCTTTTTAAAATCTTAGATCTAACAATTAGGCTTAGGTACGTGCCATGCACATAATTTATCGCTGCTTTGCATGTTATCAAAGTAAACACATTAATGGATATCACCATGATCTAGAAATAGAACTGGGATTTTTAGCCCACGAGCATAGTTTATATAAATAAAAGACGCTCCTCGAAGAGACGGAGAGCTTGGCAGAGGGGTTACTTCGTGTTCGGGGTCGGATACCTACTTTAAATAGTAACAGGAAAACCTGTAAGGCCCCTAGCGCTGTCTCTTCGACTTCATCATCTTTTTTTCCCCCTCCATTTTAAAACGTCTATCGTATCGCTCTTTATAAACATATCGGCGTGTTTGGAGTAGCAGTCTGACCACTGACAGCCGCTTCGTCGTAGCACAAATGGACATTATTACTACTATCGATTGTTCTCGGCCTCTCTGCTGGGACTTTATGATATACCTCTCAGACCGGGTTAAATTGGCTGTGACAGGCAGGGTCGAAGTCTGCATCCTAAATGATCAAAATAATTGTGTCGATGAGGTGTGGAAACATCTTCATGTGTATAAAAACCAAAACAACAACAACAACCCCCCCAACCCCCCCCCCCCAACAAAACAACAAACACCCAACAACAACAAAACAACAACAGCAACAAAAAAAACAAAACAAAAACAGTGTCACAACTCGATGTTTTCAGTTCCAGCTCTTATCAAAATATTGTTGGACGTATACACCTTCAGAATTGTTTAATATAATCTTAAATAAGCTCGTTCATTTTTCATGCCTCGGTTAAGAAAACAAAATACCCATAGTTTCAAATACTCCGAGGGGTATTTTTTCCCCCAGAGGATCATTTAAAAATGGGGCTATCGCAAACGAGTATAGTCGTGTCTCTAAAACGCACTGATGACAAAGTGCATGCATGGCGAGTTTTTCGTGAACTAAAAATCGATTTTCTCTTTGGGGCTTTATATTTCCTTGACATGATTCAGTCTGGGGAACACAACACGTATACGTTTTAAAGATTCAATTTTCGTAGAAACTCTGATTCCAACTACTCTTCCATTAGTTGTCAGAGGATTTCTTTCAGTGTACGAAGTCACCCTACCCTCTGTGCGAAGTCTCGACCGTACATGGGCGTAGTGTAGGAAACATGTTCATGAAACAGAATTCATGAAAGCTAGGTTTAATTTTATGAATTTGACGTGAAACAGACACACTCTAAAGCACATGGTTTTTGGAAAGGATCGGTGCACTATTGTGACGTGTAAACCTTATAAACTAAGGCGTGAAAACTAAGATGCACCCTTTTCAAAAACACAATTTCATTCACAGTAGATGCAAGATTTCACCGAGTGAGGTGGCAAAGGCACAGCAAGCAAAACTTCAAACGACAGACTGTGTGATCTAGTGACAAAAATGCGTACTTTCAATAGTTTAGTTTAGCGAGAAATGACGCGCCTGAAGTATTATATCCCCGTGTCCGAGGCTTCCCCGATCTCCCCAATATATAGGCCTATAGTATATATTATAATGCCTACATGTTATGCCTTTTTTATATTAGACCTATTATTATTATTATTATTATTATTATTATTATTATTATTATTATTATTATTATCATTATTGTTATTATTGGTATTGTTAATAATATAAAATTGTTATGTTTGTTATTATTTTTCTGGGGGAGGGGGAGGGGGAGGAGTTTGACGGAGATGCACCACAGGAATAATTAATTGGAACGTAAGGCTGCTTTTCAAAATCAATGATTTACCAAAGCAAAGAGAGGAAGGTAGGGGGGGGGGGCAACTTAACATATACCCCCCCCAACCCCCCCCCCCAAAAAAAACAAAAAAAACAACAGCAACAAAAAAACCCCACAGCCACCACTTTTTTTTAATTGCGACCAATGACAGCCTAACTGCATAAGGTCATATGAGCGCCAAGGGATGGATGTCAACAGAGAATTCCGAACGGGGAATCAGGCTTACTACGCTCACCTCTCTAGCCTCAACAGCATAAAGTCTGCTTCGACTATCACGGTACCCCGGAATAGCAGTTCACAAGAGAGTGACAAACATGCAAAAGTATTAGAGAAGATTAAAAATGAGGGTAGTAAGGATGAGGAAAGAAAAAGCACCAGTTTCCCCTATGTTGTTGCGGCACAGTATGAGCATGGCGTTGATAAATCAGACCCCTTATAATTCCGCTGCGCGAAAGAACATGTTACTTTTTATATCCCCCCTTTGTGAATGGCATAAAGACAACCTCAATCAGTAGCACAGCCTAGGGGGGGGGGGGGCATGAAAGCAGAGGGAAAATGTTTAGTATATGGGATTGTAATTGACTGGAAGACCGTCAATTGGAACAGTTGTCAGACTGGTGAGGTGGTTAATCATCATGACAACAGAAACATCATATGTGGTAGATCATTAAGTGGACCAGCACCCAGGTATTAACTGTGTATCTTACTTTTCCAGCTGTCTTAATTTCAGTTCAGGATAATTCGTCAATGAAGAGTAAAATAAAATACTCCCCAAATCCCATATATATATATATATATAATATAACAGCTGCGCCTGTTTTTGAAATGACATTTTCATGTCTAGTTTGGCAATAAACTAATGAAAAAGAAACCCCAACAAAACAAACACAACCCCTCCTAAAAACAAAAAACAAACAAACAAAACAAACAACTTTCTGCTGTCACTTTCCCCTACTTGGATATACCAAAACTCTGCAATTTTGGTAGAAATGTCCAGTTGAGAATGTCCCTCGATGCTATACTTAGGAGCACATTATGAGTTCTCACTTGGTAAAAGAAACGACACTTGCAACATAATTAGGCCTTATAAGTGCCAACGTTTGGAGGTGTTATTTGACAGTAACATGCAAAGAGATGAAGGAGGAGAGATAAAGATGATAGATGTTTCATAGTATAGGAAAGAAGGAGTGAACCACACCAGAACACCCGCCAACCAACCTTGCAATACATTGACTTGACTTTAGTATTAGTTTTAGTAGAGGTTTTAGGGTGCTCGCAACTGCATAAGGTCATATGAGCGCCAGAAGATTAGAGGTGTTACAAGAGAGTAACAAACATAAAAAAGAA